TTGTCCGCAAAGCAGAATCGAGGCAGAGAATGAAAATGTCCGCATTAGAGAATCAAAAAAAAGTAGAAATAGTAAGAAAATTAGTACAGACAAATCGATTCTATCGACGATAATCAGTAATGATTCGATTAGAACAGGAACACGCACAACAACGAACAACTCGTCCAAAAAGGTTAACTTCAGTTAATAATGAAAATATTTTAGTACAAGCAAAAGAAGATTATTTAAATGGTCTACTAGATTTAGATGATTATCAAAAAAGACTACGTTCTCTTTGTTACCGATACATTCACATCTTGAATACATCTGACAAAGATGACGAAGATTATGAACCAAAAAGCATAGTTGAATGTTGAATCATCTCGTACTACTTGTATCTTTCTCTTTCTTCACATAATAAATTTTTTCTTGATTCTATAATGCGGACATTTTCATTCTCTGCCTCGATTCTGCTTTGCGGACAATTTTCAAAATGCGGTCATTTTTGTCTATACCCCCTGATTCTGCTTTGCGGACATTTTACCTTAATTGGTTAAAAAAAGTGTCCGCATTGTAGCTGTAGCCGAAATTTTTATCATTTTATCTACTAGTTGTGATCAAGTATTCTTGAAAACATCGAGGTCAGAAAACTTATCTTTCGTATAAAAGAGAAAAAAATAGTGTTTATATGTCACACGAGATTTTTGAAAAACTGCCACACGAGATTTTTTGAAAAAACTATCAGGTGGAATTTTTATGCATATAACTTTCTCACAACTAAGACTAAAGTACATACATTACATATTACTTGATTTCGTGTTTAAGTGATTGTCGAAACTCGTGCAAGCACCCTTTAATTTGTTTCTCACAATTCACAGAAAAAGTCCAATATGATTATGAATAAGAAACAACATTATTAGAGTTATGTGATCGAGCTTTATCGAACACATAACTCTCAACCATATTTCGAGTGATATAAACAAAGTTGTTTCTATACATAAACTGAAGTATTTTCAACGCGTTCAGCAAAACTCTCGCATTTTAGCAATTTTTCGACATAACAGCAACACAGTCGTATTGAAGCATTTTTCATGGACTTTGAATGATTCTCTTATATCACAGCCATACTTATAGTGGTAGTCGGGAAAATTTATCCTTTTTCTCTTCTCATATCGTACAGTTAAATACACGACTTATCAGCTTTCGAATCGAAATTTTTTTTCGTTTATTTGTTTTTGTCAAAACGGTACAATAATTTTGCAATTCATCCATATATATTCCAATCTTAAATAGGTTATGTTGTTTCTTTTTTTTTTTCTTAAAAAGAGGAATAATGAAAAGTACTGAGTTTAGTTTTTTTCTCGTATTGGGATAAAAAATTTATAAATAAGTTGAAAAGTTCTATTGGCCACTAGAACTTTTCAAATTATTTTTTCGATTAATTAGATATAATCTATTTCGTATGGAATAATGTTTTTTTTCTTTCGTACCTATGTTATTATATAGAGAGGGATAGATACTATCTTATATCACAGCCTGTTAGGTGGCTTCGTAACCTAACCCAGGGAGATTTCTTGTGCCTGTTGTGGCGAAAGCAGTGTAGTACTCGGGAAGGCCGTCTGTTCGTAGGTCCTTGTCGTCGTTATTGTGCGATATACCTACGATCATGCCCCACCAGTCCGGCGTAGTCCGCTCTGCATGTACCCATATCGCGCTTACAGGGAGTCTTCCTGGTCGCGCGCGCACGTACGCGAGAATGAGCCGGAAAAGCGAAATGAATTGTAGTTCAAATAAATTTATTCAGCAAACCGAAAAAAAACAAATTACATTTTCTTTCGAATTTTTTCAAATGTTTCTTTATATTCCAAAATATGAGGATGATTTGAAGGTAATTTTTCTTGAGCAATTTCTGCGGCTTGTTGAACATTTTTCATTGCCATATTATATTGTCGAGTAGATAAATATAATTTCGCCAAATTGTGATATACAACAGCTAAATCAGGATGACTTTTTGGTAGTTTATTTTCACGCATTTCTAATCCTTTTTGATAATATGTCAATGCCGTTGTATAATCTTTCATTTGACGATATGTTTCACCTAAATTTATATATGTCGTTGCACAATCTGTAGGATCACATTGAACATTTTCTTGAATATTTAATGCTTTTCGATGAAATAAAATTGCCTTTTCATAATCACCCATTAAACGATGAACATCACCAATATTACTGTATGTGATAGCTTGATTTGGATGTCTTTCTGGTAATGTTTGTTGAACTATTGTAAGGCATTTTTCAAAGTAATCAAGCGACTTTGAATAATCTTTTATACTCCGATAAACTCTTCCAAACCAGCTGTATGTTGAAGCAAAAGCTAGATTACCTTCTTCAAAAGCTTTTTGCTGAATTTGATAAGCATTTTTAAGGGCTTTAAGAGCTGTTGTGCAATCACCCATTTTTTCGTAACATGCTACAAAATTCAAGTGACTAACAGCCAAATCAGGATGATTCGAAGGCAGAGCTTTTTTTGTGATTTCTAGATCTTCTTCGTAAAATTCAAGTGCTTTCGAGTAGTCACCCATGTTCTCATACACTTGACCGATGTTGCTGTATGAAGTAGCCAAATTAGGATGATTCGAAGGCAGAGCTTTTTTTCGTATTTCGAGTGATTTTTCGTAAAATTCAAGTGCTTTCGAGTAGTCACCCATGTTATTATACACTTGACCGATCTTGCTGTATGAAGTAGCCAATGAGGGATGATTCGAAGGCAGAGCTTTTTTTCGTATTTCAAGTGATTTTTCGTAAAATTCCAGCGCTTTCGAGTAGTCACCCATGGCATTATACACTCCACCGATACTGTTGTATGAACCACCTAGATCAGGATGGTTCGGAGGGAAGGCTATTTTAGCTATTTGATGTGCTTTTTCGTAAAATTCCAGCGCTTTCGAGTAGTCACCCATGGTATTATACACCCTACCGATGCTGTTGTATGAACCACCCAGATCAGGATGATTCGGAGGTAGAGCTTTTTCGTAGATTTGATGTGATTTTTCGTAAAATTCCAGCGCTTTTGAGTAGTCACCCATGTTATTATACACTTGACCGATGTTGCAGTACGAAGTAGCCAAATCAGGATGATTCGAAGGCAGAGCTTTTTTTCTTATTTCAAGTGATTTTTCGTAAAATTCAAGTGCTTTCGAGTAGTCACCCATGTCGTTATACACTTGAGCAGTATTATTGTACATAGTAGCTAATGAAGGATGATCTTCGGGGAGAGTTATTCGGTAGGTATGCACAGATTGTTCGAGAAATGCAACTGCTTCGTTGAATTGCCCTTGGTCTTTTTTCACCCATCCAAGCATGTTACTAATATATGCTCTATCACTATCATCCGATGCCTGTTCCAGTAGTGCCATATATAGTTCTTCGGCCTTGTTGAATTGACCTATTTTGAGTAACAATTTACCCATTCGACGCCATCCGGTACCGTCGACTTCTTGTCGCATGTAGTCAGTTAATTCTCGAAGTTGTGGATCATTATCCGACGTAAGTTCAAGGTCCACTTGATAAAGTGCACGATTGTTGTCAATTTTTTGAACTTCACCAATGCGAAACACGGTGTGCATGGAGAAAAGAATTTCATCTTCCTTCTTGAAATAACTTTCTTCACGAATGGAGGCGAATGGAGTCGATGATATCTTAGGATCAATTGTTATTTGGAATAGTATTCCAACCATATCATTGGTGCTTAAGGCTTTCTTGGCGAAATCGAGAGCGACTTTTTGATTTGTGCTGGTAGATAAGAAGTTATTAAAAGAAATAAGCCCATCTTTATTTTCTGCGATCTTTTCAAAATCTGTTTTTGATAGACCTTGTCCTCGAAAGACGTTAAAAATTTTACCATGATATTGACTGACCTGATTCTTGTACAAGTCTTCGATTTGTCGATGTACATCACACAGGAAAAATCCCATTCGAATCATAATGTCGCCGTTGAGGGTCCGTAATGCCCCGTTGATCATTTTGTACGTGAAGCTCTCACGCGTATACCACCAAATGGCTTTTGTTGCGTGATAAGTACGTTCAAAATCTGTAATATTCTTCATTTCTTGGGTTTTGTCCTCGTATTCTTTTCGGCAAAACATGATCAAATCTTCAAAATCTTGATGACAATGTGGTATCTCAAGGAGTATTTCCTTGAATATTTGGGAATACATAAAAGAAGGTTCTAGCTGATCTAGATTCTTGCTAGAACCTCCTACATTCACGCCAACAATGCTCACCGACATATGATCTTGATTGCATTGTTTGATAGCTGTTGTCAATTTTTCAGATATGTGTTTGATTGTCGTATGGACACCTTGGATTTTTGTCCAATTTCGAGCCCAATCTTGATACCGTTCTTTCTTGCGACAAAAAATGTATATGGCATTTAATTTTGCCATACCATGGATGCTTGGTACGAGATGTTGTCCAAGTGCACCTGAGGAGATAACAAATGATATCTCTTCAGGATTTTCATTCAACTGTTGAACACATTCTTCAGTTGTCGTACAATGTATGACTTGATTTACAACACCGCGCAATTGCGCAAGTGTATTGTGGCAATCTTGATTGGTCATATCCATATTTCCATCAACCCAAATAACCATGTAGTTTTCAGGAAGGTGCCGTCTTGGTTGTTGACTCATTTTTGATGAAATTTTTGGTGTGCGATAAGTAGTTGTGTATTTTGAATAGTAGATGGCTGTTTGGACAGAGTTTACCTTTTGTATTTATACACTTGATGCACGTTGTTTTTTTTCTAGATTTTTCTCTGGTAAGTATGCTCTTCGCCGAAAACAAGATCGTCGAAAACTCACATCGCCAACTCGACGTGGCAATTCACCGTAAACTTCCACGTCGAGTCGACGATGTGAGTTTTCGACAATCTTGTTTTCGGCGAAGAGCATTACATTCTTTTCTCTGACGTCAAATATGAATATTTTGTTTTTTCGTTGACAGTCAATAACAAAATATGCCTATTAGTAATTGAAGGTATGCTTATCAAAAATAAATTAAAGGGAAAAAAACCAATAACATTATTGATCGTATGATAATTTTTTCCCACTTTCATTTATGTGTCATGTGAAGCGGGACTTGAGTTTCATTGCATTAGATACCTTGTCTTATACGTTGTATAATTTTGTTTCATTCTCTCCAACAAGAACGAAAACGACAGCAAGGACAGCGTTAATGTGATTTGTTTTTCTCGTTATGCATATGATTGACATGCTGATAATGTGAACGAAACAAGAAAAAATATAATTTCAATTTCAATTGAGGCAATAGTTAAATAACGATTTCTACTGGCCAAATATACTGTTGTTGAAATTTGAAAATTATGAAAGATCGAAGTAATTATCACCAATTTAAAATGAATGGAACACTTAAATGTAGGTTTTACATATTAGTATAATAATAAACAAGCAAAAGTTTTATATCAGTTATCATCCAAATTGCATCTAGAAACACCCAAAAACTTAAGTTTTGTTATGTATAGAGTGAATAGATCATCACTCACAATCTTGCTAGAGTAATTTTTGATTTTTATTCATTCGTATTATGTGTATAATAAAAAGAAATTTTGTTTTCTAGTATTATATTAACTGCTCTTCTTTTATTAATTTCTACGATTCATCAAGAAATCATATTCAAATTTTGTTTTGTTTTTTCATATTTAAAGCTCACACAACGTCAACGTGTGTGAAAATGACAACAACAAAAATAACTTCTATTCTATACGAACATGTTTCCATATAGTTGGCAAATAATGAGAAGAATCGTTCATAGTTTCTTAGCTAAAACTGGTGGAGATATTGAAGACATGAACCTTTCTTACTTTCGTAATTCAAAAGTAAAAGAAACACGATAATTGAATCGTATGCTTGATGTTTTTGTTTGAATCGAGAAAGATGATATCATCAATGCTTAACGTGATCATTATATTTTTTTTAACTTACATAAATTTGTATTACAAGTACATAACTAAAAAATTATGTTTTCGGTAACTGAGAAACGGTCTAGTTATAATTTATTTTTTTTATTAACACTCATTAGTAAGCTCATATCAGAACTGATAAAGAAATTGCCAACAGTGAACAAATAGTAACATTGCATTGCTATTTTCTACACAGAGTATTGAAAAAATGTTGTAAAAGTTTTAAATGTAAAAATGATACAGATAATATCAATACACTTGTGATATCGCGACATGCTACTTTTTCATATATTTCTAAGTTTTTTATTCATTTGACTGATACACATTTTGATTCCTAACCAACAATAACTGATTAAAAGAAATTCAAACAACAAAAAATTGTGTTACTATGCACAACGAGTAAATAAATTCATATAAACATAACCATGAGAACTAATAACTGGCCATTTAAAACCTACTCAAGATTTTACGATCTTCAATAAAACAATAGTATATCAAAAAATTTTAAAGAAATGCAATTTAATTTAATTTTTGTTGTTTTAGTTCTTTTCATCAGTTCTCGTTTGTTATGAATAAATGTTAACTCATGTTACAGATGATGTCTTTTTTGCTAATCATGACGGCACTCACAAAGAACGAAAATTTCAGTTATATATGTAAAATTAAATTATACTGTATTTCTTTAAAATTTTCTGATGTACTATTGTTTTATTCAAGTTTACGTATTTCCTTATTGAATAACTATTGTAAATAGATGTAAGTAACTGCAGAATATTTTTATTGATACCAGTTATATGACATCTGACTTTATTGAAATAACTAGATACAATCGAACTCAACAATTATTAGTTTTCTCTTTCTCAATTGTTCATGATATGGATATTTAATTATATCTAATCTTGTTATTTTCAGTCGTGATAGCCATGAAAAATTTTATTTGTTCAACATTCTATATTTAGATTTTGATTTGTTTCTCAATAAAAACCATCTGTTAATTTGAAAGAATATTAACATACTTTCAACTTTACGAGAATAATCAAAAACACTGATGAAAATGAAATTTGGTTATCTATTTGATGAATAAAATGTTTTATTTTACAAGAATGTTTTCGCAGTTGTGTTGAAAATAGGTTTTTTTTCCGTGGTATCAAAATCTTTTTACACAAGTATGTTTCTAATAGAATTCTGTAATCAGTGATCCTCTTTTTAGTAAAATAAACATGACAACAGTTCAATCATTTTCTATTTGACAACAACATTCATCAATGACATACAGTTTTTTCTATATTTTATAATCACTTCGAGTGTGGTTTTTTTGCAAGTACATATCAAGAATAAACATTATAGTGGAAATGAAACGTTTGGTATATTTGTTTTTGAATACCGACAGATGCACATGGCGATTCTGAGAGTGCTAAATGATAGTGTGAGTATAATGACTTTGATTGGTCCGTGTTATTTTCAAGCCCTCACCTCACGTTCCGTGCGCATCTTTCGTATATTCCTCTTGTCAGTTGAGTTCATCAGGTCGAAAAGTTTTGGACCCAAATCTAATTCTTATTCATAATATCGTCAATACCTACATATTTTTCATGACCATCTTGTCAGTGATCATATAAGAATGTGGATATAACTGAGTATTACTTTTAGAGTAACAACTATGGGGTTAGACCATCACTCGATGTGCTTCATTAGTCACTGAATACTGTGCTCGTCATTGTAGACCGATCCATCATCATTATTTGTAGTAAATGGTATGCCGGTAATATATAGATTTGAAGAGTGAACTTTTGCAAGTAAATACTTGTGCACTTCTTCGTTAAGAAAAAAAGAATATTTAGTTAATTACTCAATAGGTGAAATACTCACTTCAATAAATCTTTCACTACTTTCGATAGATGCTTGTATCTAGTTTTTCTTTAATAGACGAAATGAAATTAATTTTTGATTTCGGTCATGATGGAAAAACTTTTGATGAGCTGAAAAAAACTATTAACGAGTAAGATATTTTCATTTCTCTCAAAAAAAAACGGATTGACGATCACAATTAAATATACAGAATTATTTCGAGATTTTGAAAAATACCTATGAAACTTGTAGTTTATCATAAAATTATGTGTAAAATGTCAGATTAACAGTCGAAAGAATAAGTGAAATAGTTGTTTCATAACTTGATTAATAGAATTTGTTCATTCTTAACTTTTATCTTTACCGAATCTCCTTCAGCATTTCAGATGAATTAAGATAAAGAGAAAAAGGTTTTCAAACTAAATTAAAACTTATATCTAAAATTTCAAATCTTCTTCCTTCATAAAATAGAAAAGTTTCTATTTATTGTAAACTATTTTAATACATGAAAGAAACCCTATTCTAAAATAGATTGAAATAATCAACAGTCATTAGTTTGTATTATTTTTTATCGAACATCTAGAATTTAATTTAATTTGATTTTAGTTAGAGTTTCATGTAATTATCTAGTTTTTATCGTTTTCAAGGACATATTAGAATTCGAAGTTTGTTGTTATAAAAAAAAAGAGAAATCTTTGTTTTTCATCAAATTTTGTTGAAATTAGAGGTGTCATATTAGCATTAAGTTAAAAATAATGCTAATACTTTTGCATTAGCATTAACCGTTATTACCAATGCTTTGGCATTAGCATTAATGGTTAATACTAATGTTCTGGTATTAATGACATTAGAATCAATTAATGTTTAGGTGTTAGGATCAATTTAGCATTATTTTGGGGTGTGGGTAAAAAGAAGACTAACACGCACATCCCACATCCACACCCACACCCAAATCTCAATAATAATTGACATTTATACTTATTGTGTAATTATTTCAATAAAAAAAAAGAGCAAGCAAAAGAATTCTCATATTTTAATTATATTCTCATAAGAAACTCAATAATTGGTCAATATTGTAGTTGAGCCTGATTTTCTGTTTCTCTTCTAATTTATAGGATATATCTAGCATAAATGTCATAGATAATAACGGAAACTAAACGCAGAAAGAAGATTAAATCTATAGGTAATTATTAATATCTGTATTTGATTAATAGTTAACGAGTACGGAAAATTAGTATAGAATTTCTAGCCTTATGAAGTTTTCTGTTGATCAGTAGACGTCAAGAGAAAGAAAACTTTTGGAAATAACCAATGAAAAATACATGACAATAACTGTTTTGATTAGATGAAATATATGATTAATCGATGAATTACATGAAGAATGATTGATGTTAGTCTACCAGTCTGATTTGATCTAGTCTGGTCTAACCGTTTCTGCTAGCATCTGTAAAGACAGAAAAAAAAATCCTATCGATTATAATTCTACCTCGATTTATGATCAATTAGAAAATGACATCTTACACCAAATAGTCAACAGAAAAATTAAACATATACAGATTTTTTCAACTAGTCTTAGTTCTATAAGCATTTTCAATAGAAGTAACAAATGAAATGCTGAATACTAATAACTAATTAGTCTATGGACTAATCGGTTTGTTGTCTGCACTGGTTTTATCTTTGGACGAAGCTTCCCAAACACGATCTTTTAAATATAAAGAAGTCACTTTTGGTTAGTATACAACAATAAACCTTCAAAAATCATTCAGCTTTGCTAATGATCAAAGGAAAAGCTAAACTATACTGTGCTGTTTCGGATAAGAAACATAAATTGAAAACTTCACGCATAAAATTACAATGAACTATAAATTCCATTGATTTCTAGCATTTTTGATCATTCTGATAAATGAATAATCACTATCAACATTATTAACGATAAAATAACCTAAGAATTAATATATGAATTGGTCGAATTCTTTCAATATTTTACTCTTTGGTTTATTTAGTGGGAAACTATGAAGAGCAAATGATTGTTTTGTATGTGATTGAATTATTATTAATAAGATTGAAATAACAAATATATTTTCTTCGTAACTAATCATTTATCTAGAGAATCGATTCAATTAGATGAAATTTAGCTGTTTTCAATGTTTGATTTCGACAATTCTCACAAAACTCATTTAATTGTTTCCTTGTGAAATTCATTTTCAGAAAATGTCATAGAACTAAAGTTTTACTTATAAATACAATAAAGAGAATAATATAAAAAATTTTTTAAATGAAATTATTTTTATAATCGAATATTCGATGATAAACAATTAATATTCGTGATTCCTTGTTATTTTCTTCTCGTAATATAAGGAAAGATTTTTACATAATTTGTTTATTGAAATGATCAATATACCATTGAATTTACAATAAAGGAAAGTATTCATAAAAAGTTTTTCAAAAAAAGTCTCTGGTCGTTCGATAGTTAGTAATTGTTTGATATTAGAACAACCGCATTGCGTTACATCTCTCGTAACATCCATGATTACACTTTTCAATTGATTATAATTGACTGACAATCGAGTTAAACAAGATAAATGTGTCTTTGTTTCAAATAGGAATTGTCCAACATAATCGATATGTACATACATTATGTTAACTGATATAAGATGAGGATATTTAATTATTCAATTATATGAATTATCAGCAGGCTTTTATCAATTACTAAATCGTTTTTAAATTGCTTCATTTCCCACCGAGAAACATTTAAGTAATGAAAAAGCTTGACTAATTCACATAGAGAGTTCATGTTCCAGTGAAACTCTATCGTAGGCGTGCAAATAAGTTACACTATCAAATAAAATATTTGGAAAGTTATTCGTGAACTTTTTTAGACGAATAAATCTAAATAAATGTGCTGTAATTATCTATGATACAAGTCACTTGTCTATATTTAATCTTTGTTGAATATGAATAAGTTTAAGATGAGTTGAACTGATAATACATTGTGTACTTATATAATAGATGAATCCATTATGTTGAGGCATATAAACAAGAATTTCGTCATAAAGATTTGTGTCATCAACGAATGTATTTTGAGAAGCGAAAGAACTAATGCATCATAATGAAATGTGTTATGATAACTTATTAATGAGAAACGTTTTAAATAATGTAATTCATTCTATAAAATACAAAAATATATTTAGTATGATCTTATTTGTAAAATGTATGTGTCATTAACAAAGACATTCGAATTAACAAAAAAGTATCTTCTTCAAAACATTTATATCGACATTGTACATATCAGTAGAATTTATTGTCGTCATGTTATCCGTCATGCAGTGTATGTTTCAATCTAATGAGTTCTATGTCATATCTTTTGTCCTATTCACATCACTGCATAACATAACACTGAGGCTGTGGGTGTGGATTGACTTAAGAACATCAATTCCACACTCACACCCTTTTGAGAATATGATTTAATTGAGAGGAAAACATTACGATTATTTCTTCCCATATAAATTTCAAAACCATTCTAATAAAATTCACACCGAGAGAAGAAAACTTAGTAATAATTTAAGTCTAGTGGTTTATTTTAAGACATAGAAAGTGACGTATTTTCAAAGATATAGTTTCAAAAATCTATACTTCATTTTGTTCAATTACTTTGAGAATAACTTATGCTTATAGAAAAAGCATCAATAGTGAAAAGTATTGATCGAGTGTTGCCTGTTGTATTGATCTATGAAAGAGTTTTTATATCTTAACTCAAAAAGAATTATGCTAAAGAACTGTTCGAAAACACTACGCTCAGCATTTTGACCTTAATTGATTCTCTTTGTTCTCCTTGTAAACATATTTGCTCAAGTAGAATATAATTTTCGTTATATCCGTAAAAAAACAGTAGACTTTTGTTAAACAGTCAACACCGTTTAGCATCTTATTCCTTTAAATTATTGTCATATTCTTAATAACAAACGAAGAAGAAAAATAGACAGTTACGTTGATCTTAACTGTTGATAGAAAATTATAAAAAACATGTTCATAATATATGGCACATAACTCTCATTCGAAATGTTACCGTCATGTTGTTTTCTGTATGTAATTCAATCTGACAGTTAAAATAGTGCTTATCTAATGAGATCTTAGGAAAATTAAGAATCTAACAGGCTTATTTGCTTATTCTCAAAAAATATCTACAGGAACACTAGAACCAAATTTTCAAGATTCTGTTACCCGGAAGCGTGGATTTTTTACTGATAACTAGAGTCGTCTATATTCTGTCAATGTTTGTTATTTCAACCCTAGTAAATTTTTCATTCACTGATTCCTTTGAATTTTCGTCTTACTATACTATTAGATGGTAAGACATTTTTCTAGGATGTGGGTGCTGCAAAAAAAAAAAGGGTTTTTCCAAAGAAATCTAATATTCCTATAAAACGTTAATAAGAAAATTTTCAATGAAACTACTCTCCCTGACTGAAAAAGAAAAATAACAGATTGTGATCAACAATCTATTAAGTCGTCATTGCACTATCAAGAAAAGTTTAGAACTTCAACAACAACAAAAGCGTTGAAAAATAATGAAATCGATAATATTCCTATTTATGATGGCGATTTTGAAAATAGAGTAAACGAAGAATTTTAGCATAACTTATTTAATTGATGAAAATTTCATGCAAACATACTGTATTACAGCGATTTTCATATGCTCACTATTTTTGCTTAGTTTTGAAAAAAAAAATTATTTTTCAAGAAAATTTTATCAACATTTTCCAAAAGGGATGTAAATTTTCGTCGAAAAAATCATTTATTTCATACACTATTGATAAAAAAACGGTTTCGAAGAAAAAAATTTTTCCATCTTCAGTTGAAAATTCTTTTTTGTTTTTTCTTTCTTACTTGTGTACATTCTCCATCATATTTATATTCATCACTTTATCCACAACGTTTTAATATTTCATCAATACCTTTCGATGGATGTGCTAACATTGGTATACCAGGTGTTGCTTTACATAAATGTTTTAATTTTTCAATACCACCTTTATTAATAAGTACATCAACAAGTATATCATAGAATGAACATTGACAAAAAGCATCTTTAACAGCAAGTGTACCATTATCAAGACGTTCTTTTAATGTTGTTTCTTTTAAATTTGAATATTGACTACGAATACATGAATGTGCTAATGCAACAACCATTGATTGTTCAGCTAAACCAATACGAAGTTTACCAATTAATGATCGAACAAGATAACGACTTTCATGAGATTGACAAGAAACTAAAAGACTTTTTATTATATCACTTTTACGTTGTTGACTCTTTTTAGAAAAAAAAATATCGTTTTTTTTTTTGAATCAATGAAAACGAAAATGTTTACTTTGTTTCCAATTAATTGTGCAATAGATAAAATTGAAAATTACCTCAGCAACAAGACCCAAATCTCCTTTAGGTTTATAATCTGATTTTAATTGCTCAACAGTACGTCCAGTACTATCAGTGATAGCTTTCATAATTATTATTTCACCAATACCTAATTACGAATTATTTCTAAACGAGCTGATATCTCTTCAATCAATAATAATGTTGATAATAATGCACTGTATGGTACACAAAAATATAAACAGAATATTGAATAACTTATTTTTTCATAATAAGTATCAAATGACGCAGAAGAAATTACTGTCTGTATTTTTTCCTTTATTATTCCCCTGATTCAAATACTTCTTTAATCAAAAGGTAGAGCTTGAAATTCAAACACAAAATAGTATACTTTATTGAACGATGGCGTCACCCTGGTCAATCCATTCACTAATTTACAATGCTGAGAGTGGCTATGTATGAGCGATTTATCATCAGAATCTGATGATGGAGATTGTAATGGTTCTTTATTTTCTATACGAATGGATGGTAGTTCGACTTCTTTTTTTGGTGTTTTTATTATTGATGAATCTTTTTTTGCAAAAAACGAACTTAAACAAATTGATTTAAAATTATTAAAATTAAAAAACAAAGAAATTTTTTGACATACGCAATTGATGGTTGATTAGTTTTTTTTTTGATTACTCATTGAAATTTTCTTTTTACAAGTTGATAAATATCTTAAATGTTGTTCATTATTAAATAAAATTCGAACAAAGCGTATAGACAAACAATGTCTTACAGACATCTGAAATATTTTTAAGTAAAATAATCATTGGTTTTTTTCATCTATCCAATAAAAACTATGCTGTGACTGCAATGAGGACAAAATTGTTTGTTCATGGCTTACATATATTCTTCGTTTATTTATTCGTTTTTTTGTTATTCATGTCGATGGCAACTTGCAAATATAGTTTTAATGCTCTAGTTAGTTAATTAAATATTTTCTGCTTTTTTTTTAATAAAAAAAATTCTTTCGATTTAAAGCGTCGAGCATCATCATCTGCTGCTGTTGCTTCAACTGTAAATCAGAGAAATGTTCCTCAAACAAAAACAGGTCAATTTGGAGTTCCACAAAGGATTAATTTACCAAAAGAAAGTATTAATGTAAGAGATAATTTTTCATTTCGTTTATTTTAAAAATCATATTAATGTTTTTAAAAAAAGGTAACTAAATTACCAAATGGATTGGTTGTGGCTTCAATGGAAAATAACTCGCCATTATTTCGTGTTGCTGCTGTTGTTGATGCCGGAGCTAAATATGAACCTTATGAAATGCGAGGTGTCACAACACTTCTTCGAGTTTTCTCGAATTTGGTAATTTTAAATTGAATATTTTGTTTTTACGAAGGAAATTTTCTTTGTGAAAAGAAGTAGCGCTTATACGTCTCCGTACCGCTTATTATTTTTAAATCTAATTCGAATAAACCGTTTATAAAGTTAAAGTACTTCGACGTCAAAAGCCTTTGATCAGACACTATAAGACTTCATCTTAGAGAGCCTATCATAGACAAACATTTCAAGCTTACAAATTTTCTTTCATTAGTTAAGAATTCTCGATTACTTTTAATGGTGGGAAGCAGTTTCGTTCGTTTTTCTGGCAAATATCGAACAAGAAATAGTAGAGTCTTGCAAGGGTAAGACTTTTTCGTACTTTAATCCTACTCTAACAAATACAAAATTATCACACATTTAAAAAGGTTCGTAAGAATAAAATATCATTAATAAAAACATGAATCGATTTTGTCGCCTCTTTTTCATATACACTGAATTTTGCATATTTCCATGATCATTTTTTTAAATCAACTTGAAAACTGTTAGAAGTTCATTTAGGCTCGTTTTCTCGAAAAAAAAGCAAATTTCTCATGTAAAGAAAAACTTATTTTTTTTTATTGATTTATGTAGAGCACGAAATATGTCAGTCGACTTGGTTTAACAAAGAATTTGGAACGTTTGGGTGCCAATTTTAAGTAAATAGAAAAAAGAAAATTTCATTGAATACAACAAAAAAAAAATATTTCTGTATCAATAAATAGATGTACACAAACACGAGAACAAATGATTTATTCAGTTGAAGGTCTTCGAAATGAATTGTATGTATTTAATTTTTTTTTTTATTTTAAGAAACAAATTCAGTTTATTTTATTTTTTTCATTTAAAAAACAAAACAGAACACATGGAGCTCAATTTTTAGTTCCTATTGTTTGTTATCCACTATTCAAACCCTATGAAGTTCATGATGAACATGAACGAGTAGAACTTGATCATGAAATTTATTTAAATTCACCTGAATTACGTATATTATATTATTTTATTTCAAAATTTTGTGTTTTTTTAAATAAAACTTTTTTTTGTTTTAGAATTAACTGATTTACTTCATACATCATCATTCAGAGGTGGTTTATGTCGAGCATTATCAATTAGTCCTGGAATGATGAAAAAATTATCACATAGACAAGTAAAACATTGTTTAGATTTAAATTTTGAATTGAAAAAAAAATGTTTTTTTTGTTTTTGTTTATTGAAATAGATGTATTCATTTCATTCGCATTATTATACACCTGATCGAATATCATTAGTTGGTACTGGTTGTAATCATCAAACACTTGTTCATTTAGCGGATAAATTTCGTTTTTCACCACTTGATTGTGTTTATACACCAGGTTTTGGAAATATTAAATTAATTGATTCTGAACCTGAACCATCAAAATATAAAGGAGGTTTGTTTTATTGATTTATTTATTTTTTTTGTCATATTTTTATTAAAAAATATCTTTATTATAGGAGAAATTCGACGTGATACTCAATCAAGTTTAGTTCATATTGCATTAGCATGTGAAGGTGTTAGGTATTTAATAACAAAAAAAATAATATCGAATTTCGTATTAATTAAAAGTTATATTTAGTTCAAAAGATGAAAAAGGTGTTTTAACAAGTTTATTATTAAATGAAGTAATGGGTAAAGGTCCAAATATAAAATGGTCAGCTGGATCAAATCGTCTTCAACGTGCTGCACAAGCTGTTGCTGATGCACCTTGTTTGGTTAATTTTATTATTTTTGAAATGATTAAAATAATCTTCTATTTATTTTTTTTTATTATTTTTATAGGTTTCATCATTTAATCTTCATTATACTGAATCAGGCTTATTTGGTGTTCATATTATGTGTAACAAGAATGATACAAATAAGGTTGTCAAAGCTGTTTGGAACGAATTTAGTAAAGTTTTAAAAAATGGTATTAGTAAAGAAGAATTAAATATTGCTAAGTAAGTTTAAATATCAAATAAATAATACATGATATTGAAATATTAATAAGAAGGCATCTGTATTGAATGACTTAACAATTAACTATAGATATTGAAAGATGATATTCTATCATAAACTATAAAACAACAGTTTTATTGTATTTCATTTATGTGAGAAGATTCGCAAGTGTCACTCGAATTAACGTTTTATCTATAAGTAAATCTCGACGAGACTATACGAGTTCGTTCCTGTGCGCTGTCCTTTCTAAGCTATGAACAATAATACCATTTAAATTGTTCGAAATATATTCAAAGACAAAATTCACGATAAAAATAATTATACTAGGATGAATCTTTTTACTCACTATCATTAACTCAGTAACGACCGTTGTTACTCATAGTTCAAAACTAATTCATTTGGATTTCTCTTTCGAATATTTTGGGATGAGCGAAAGCCTGACGCAATCATTTGTAACTCCGGTATAATTGTATGTCTCTTATTAAATTGGAAACTTTGTTGAAAGTTGACTATATCAAATATTACTATCCACAGATGGAATACTTGAACATCTTGTCGGTGTAATATCGATATCGGTCAGAAAAAATTCACATTGGTTCCATCTTTGCACTAGATTTTTTTTTTTGAGATTGATTTATATAAATAGTGAAACGATGAACTTTCAGTTCTTCTCCTATGTTATTTTGAGTTCAGAAATGTTGTTTCGATCACATAAACATATTATAATAAGATCGTCTGGATTTTCATATCATAGATAGACTTTAGCATAAATGTTATATATCTTGGTAAATGCTCTAATGATGTATATTAAAAGAGGTTTAAAGCACGCTATTTTCTCCTCTATATGAATTCCAAATTATTTTATAATTCATATACATTATGAATTTATATCCGAAATGAACATGTTCATGATGATATATCTGATTATATTTTTTTTTATTGTTTATAGAAAGAAACTTCAAGTAAATCTTCAAATGACAGCTGAACAATCTTCGGATGTTTTTTCAAAAATGTTAACTCAACCAGATGTTAGTGATCGATTAACTGATGTTCAATCAATTGTTGCACAAATTGAACAAGGTGATTATTCAATTGATTCAATAAATCAATTAGCCAAGAAAATGTTAACTGGAAAACCACCAACAGTAGTTTCTATTGGAAATCTTAAATCAATGCCATATCTTGATGATTTAAGAGCATAAACTTTCTTTCATGTTTTTCTTTTTCTTTTTCATATAGCTTGTAGAACTTACATCAAGATATGAGATGATTACACACACACACAAAAAGACACGTTACGAAATAAAATGCCCGTTCTATCCCAAGGTTTATTTTCTAGATCGAAATATTTCTTATTAAAATAAATGTTGAAGAAGGAGAAAGAAAAACGAAGAAATAATTGAAAGATTTGATTATTTTATTTTTAAGCAGTTCCATCCATCATCATCATTGTCATATTCATTGGTGATGATGATAGTGAATGATTTGTTGTTGTTGTTGTTGAAGAAATTTGATTATCATTTGATACAATTGTTGTTGATGATGGTGGTGTTGCTGATAATGTTGTTAATTTATTTAATGAAAGAAGAGTTTCAGGAAAATTTGGTGGTGTTGCTGGAGTATTTGCAGGTGTCATTAACTTATTTAAATTAAATTATTTTCATATAGAATATATAAAATATAAATAATTACTTCTGAAAATTTGCAACAAGGAATTGGCATTGTTCGTTCATCGAAGAATAAATTAATTGCTGCCTAGAAGAAAATAAAAATCTTCTTTTTTGTTTTTCTTTTTTCTTATGTTATTTTTAAATATAAATAAATCTT